CACGCGCCAGGAGGGCCTGTACGCCATGGGGCCGCTGGCCGGGGACAACTTTGTGAGGTTCGTGCAGGGCGGGGCCCTGGCCGTGGCCAGCTCCCTGCTGAGGAAGGAGACCAGGAAGCCACCCTAGCATTGGCGTGACACGCTGACACCCAGGCCCTGAAGGGGGGGAGATCACCACAGCCCTGCAGGACACAGGGTCCGACCGAAGATGCCCCGGCGAGGGGTGGGGCCGATCCTGACAGGAGACGGGAGGGGCTGTGAGCCACGCGACAGCCTTTCGGGTCCGGAGGAACGGGGAGCGCAGACTGCCCGACTCAGACCACTGCCCACGGGAGGACAGTGACCACAGGCCAGGACAGGCCTCGACCTAGGATTTGGGGGAAGCTGCCAGCATGAGCCGGCGGGAGGACTCCAGGCACGCTCCGTCCAGAAGCAGTTCCCAAATAAAACCAGTGCCTGCCTCCACGCGTGTGTGAGGACTCTGTGCTTGGGAGGGAGTTGGGTGCCCGAGCCCCTGCCCTGGGTGGGGGTCCCAGGGTCATGTGGGAGTTCCTGGATGAGGCCCATGGCTGGGAGGGTGAGGGACAGGGGATGGTGTCCAAGTGTGGGGGCCGTTGAGAGGGCAGCTGTGCTAGAGCCTTGGCAGGAGAGTGTGTGCAGGGACTGGCATGCGGGAGGATGGTTACAGCCCCACCTCCCCTCCAACCTTGTCCTCACCCCCTTCGCCTCTCAGTTCCAACTGCACTGTCCCCTTTAGTCCCTCCTGCTCGCCTGTTCCGCCTGCCCCAGGGCCTTTGCACAGGCTGGGCTCAGCCCAGGGCACTTTCCCTCCTCTCTTTAACTCCTGTTTGAATCTCTCCGCGTAGGAATCGCTTTCTCTAGGAAGCATCTTCAGAGGGACACAAACCCCTCCACTGCCACCAGAACAAATCCCCTTCTCACAGTCCAGGGTGCCACCTCTTCATGGCAGTTCCGTTTTAATTGTTCGTTTATGTGCAGAATCATTTCAGTGTTTGGCTCTGCCCACTTGGATGTAAGCTCCAGGAAGCCAAGGCCCCTGGCTGTTTTGCCCATTAGTGGAACCCAGCGCCTGCTACGAGCGGGGCACCTAGTGGGTTCTCTTTAAGTAATCTTTTAGCTGGATGGGCCCATGCGTGGGTGGCAGGGTGGGTGGGCGAGTGGGCAGAGGCACGGGTGTGACGGGGCGGCGGTCCGGGCGCTGTGCAGCGGCGCGGGGCCCTGGCCGGGCGTGCACGCCCGCGGGAGGCGAGGGCGGGTGCCGCGGGAGCGGGAGAGCCGGGTGCGTGGGCGCGAATCGCGCAGCCGCGGCCGGCAGAGGGCGCTCCCGGCCCGCCGGACTCCGGCTCTCCGGCCCCTGCGGCGGCGCCACGTGGGGGGGAGGGGGAGCAGCAGGAGACTTTCGGGGGGCAGATCGCAGAGACGCCCCCCGCCCACCCCGTGCCTTCGGGGCAGCCCCCCCCGCGGCCGGGCTGG